AGGGGGAAAGATTTTTAAAAGGGACCAGAGGGGCAGCTTTTGAGGATCTAGCTTATGTGGAACAAGCTGTCAGAGGAAGTGGTGGAGACAAGTACAGCTAAACATTTTAAAAGGCATTTGGACAGGTACATGGATAGGAAAGGTTTAGAGGGATATGAACCAAACACTGGCAAATGGGATCTGCTCAGTTAGGCGATATGGTTGGCATGGACAAATTGAGTCAAAGGATCTGTTTTGATGCTATATGACTTTGGCTCTAAATGTTAACAAAGCAAAGGTCTAATGGGAAGGAGAAATTGAAGAAAAGCAACTACTTTTTTCAAAAAGTAAAGTGCTGGAAGAAATGTGACTGAAAGTTTAGATTATCAAGCTCTGGCAGCTTAAGTGCCAAGTTACTCTTGGGGGCAACTGGAAACTTTGGATGCATTTGGTTCTCATCCCAAGTCCTGCAGATTCTGGAACAGTCTTTGATTGGATTTTGGCAAATGTAAACTGTTATATAAAGAATTGAGGGAGAAAATTGGGAATTATGGACCAGTCAGCATAACCTCAGTAGCAGGCAGAATACTTGTCCTTTTTATAAGGATGTGATAACATGTCACTGTAATCTTGGTATTGTTTAAGTTGCACACTTTATGAAAGAATGTTTGATAAATGTATGGGAGTTTTTTGAGGTTCTAATTAATAGAATATAAAAGTATGAACCAGTGGATGTAATGTATTTGGACTTTGAAAGCAATTGATGACATTGCTCAGATTTGCACATTAATCTGTTTTGGTGCATGGGATTAGGGATAATATACTGGTATTGATTTGAGAACTGGTTAGCAGGCAGAAACATCAGGAATAATGGGTTGTTTTCAGAGTAAAAGGCAATGATGAGTAGGATACCTCCTAGGATCAGAGTTTGGACCCAACTGCACAAACGAACAATTGCCAAGCTTGCTGATGACAACTAGGTAGTATTGAGTTTTGAGGAGGACAAAGATACTTCAATGTGATGTAGACAAAATGTTGCTGCAGTCTAATGAGTAAGTGTGAAGTTGCCTACTTTGAGTACAAAAAAGTAGAATGGCAAATTTATTTCAATGCTAATTAAATGAGGGAATGTTGATGTACAAACAGACCTAGGTATCCTTGTGCTAGAGTCACTGAAATCAAGCATGCAGATGCAGTAGATAGTTAGGAAGGCAAATGGCATGTTCACCTTCATTGCCAGAGGATTTCATTACGGGCGTGAGATAGAAGTTCTGCAGCTGTATAAGGCCTTGGTAAGACCACACTGGGAGCGTTGGAATATTACGAGCAGTTTTGGGCCCTATATCAAGGATGTGCTGGCATTGAAGAGAAGGTTTACAAGAATCCTCCTGGGGATGATGGGCTTGTCATGAGGAGCAGTTGAGGACTCTGGGTCTGTCAATGGAGTTTAGAGGGATGAGGGGGGAAATCTGATTTGAAACTTGCAGAATGCTGACAGGCCTGGATAAAATGGAAGTTGAAGATGTTTCCACTAGTATGAGACTAGGACCCAAAGGCGCAGCCTCAGTGCAAAGGCATGGCTGTTTAGAACTGAAGAAACTTAGGCAGAAGGTGGTATCCATTGCTACAGAAGGCTGGGGAGGCCAAGTCATGTGTATTTAAACAGGTTCTTGAATGGTAAAGGGTTTGAAGGTTACAGGGAAAAGATGAGTGTGGTGTTAAGAAATGTAGTTATGATTGAATGGCAGACTAGCATTAATTGGTTGGCTTAATTCTGTTCTTACATGTTATGGTTTTAAGTCAAGTGCAGTTTTGGTTCCTTTATCAAGGGGGAAGATGAACTTCCTATATGGCAAGTATTATCAGATTGATTCTGGTATGGTAGGTTTGGTGTATGAGGAGAGATTGGTGATTGGGCCTGTATTCACTAGAGTTTGGAAGAATGCGAGGGGATTGCATTGAAGCATAATTCTGACAAGGTGGGATGATTTCCCTGACCAGGGCTTTAGAACAAGAGATGGGGATCTCTGGCCATTTTGGACTGAGATACAAATGCTTTCATTAAGGGTGGTGAATCCGTGGCGTTTTCCACCAAAAAAGGCTGCAGTGGCCCAGACTCTCCCCTTTCTTCAGAAATGAATGGATTTCCAGACCTAAAGTTGAAGGATATGTGGATAGTGAAATCATGGTGTTATGGTGAACAATCAGCAGTGATCATGTTGAATGGCAGAGTGGGCTCAATTGGGTTGAATGGCCTCTTCCTCCCTATTTCCCATGAATTTCATAGATGCGTGTTGAGGTGTAAGTGACAGCAGATGAGCCCAGTGCCATGGCTTGCTTAATGCATTGAGGTTTGGACATAAGGGGGTGAAGCTGAGGCTTTTGCAAAGATCAGATTGTTCAGTCAAAAGGGGAGGGTTGGAGGGAACATTATAGCATAAGTGAGATTTTGAAGGTTTGATGTCAGAAGGAACTACACAAGTTAGAAGCAGGAGTAGGTTAATGAGACACAGCCATTCAGTAACACTGGCTAATCTGATTCTTAACCTCTATTTGGCTTTCTTGTCTAACTCTGACCATTTTTACCTGTTTGCTTTTTAAGCACCAAAGATTCTGCTTCCATGCTGCTTGAGTTCCAAAGACGACTTATCTGAGAGCCTGTGTCTTTTGTCTGTCATAAATGGGTGACCTTTTATTTATTAGCAGTGACTCCTTGGTTATCTCAAAATCTGGAACATCCACCCTCAGGATCTTCAATCCATTCACTACCTACTTTTCTGAACTCCAATAGAGACAAGACTAGCCTATCCAGCCTTTCATAAAACAATCAACTGAGATACAAGTTGAGAAGATTTAGGTTACTGCCAGTGTTTAATCCCCTTTTTGAATAGGGAAACTAATACCAGAGACAGTACTCCTAGAGGAGTTCTCACCAATGCCCTTAATTTGCTGTGCCTGTATAATTTTTTGGATTCATGCAGTAGCATAACCAGGTCCTTCTGTAGTCTCCACTTATACAATCTGCTTTCCCCTACAGTAAAAGGGACCATATTACACTTTCCCATATTTTACTGTTTGCCAGATCTTTGCCCACTCTCCTAATCTAAGTGTATTCCTTTTATAATTTTGTGCTCTTTGTGGCTTACTTGGCCACATTGCCTTGTCATCAGCAAATTTATCAATTTGCCTTCAGTCCCTTCATCTACAATTAGAGAAATTGTAGTAAATTCAGACCCAAGCACTGATTCTTGTCTATACCACTCATTGCATCTGGCCAATTCAAGTGACCTATTTTATGTGCACTATATCCTGTATGCTGACTAATATGCTATCCCAGCCAATATGCCGTTGCATTGGTGTTTTTCCCCCCAATACCCTTTTAAGTCACTTTACCGAATGCCTTCTGGAGGTCTTCAGTATAATAAATCTACCAGTTCCCTATTATCCACAACTGTTATTGTTTATTTCCTCCTGGAATGTGGATGTCACTGGCTAGGCCAGCATTTATTAGACATCTCCAAATACCTGAAGGTGATAGTAATCTGCTGCACTCCTTGGGGTGCAGAAACTCCCACAGTGCTGTTAGGAAGGGAATTCCAGGATTTTTATCCAGAGTGAAGGAATAAAGTATTGTTCTGAGTAGGGATGCTGAATAGCTTGTGGGGGAACTTGCATTTTGTAGAAATATTCTAACATATCTGCTCTAGACCTTCTAGGTGCTAAAGGTGGAAGGTGCTGTTCAAGTCCTGAGTTACTACAGTGCATCTTTTACATGGTTACCATTTATGCTACAGGATTTCAAGTGCTCATTGAAATACTTGTTGAATGTCTTAATTGTTTTGGAGTCTTGAAGATTTAATCAAATTGTTATAGCTCCCTGGAAAAAAAACCAGCATGCTGATTGTACTTATTCCATGTCTGTAAGTGGAGGTTAATTCTGGTTGTTTCTCTACCACTGTTGGACTTGCTGGCATATAGTTTCATGATTTTTCCCTACCACCCTTCAGTAATGTTAACGTATTAGCTGTCCAATCCTCGAACAACCTTTCCTGGGGTGAGGATTTTGAAAATGTTGAAGCCAGTGTAATCTCCCTTTCCTCCACAGCTGGCTAGGTTGTTTCCATTTGGAACTGGGGCTACTTATCTACCTCCAAGCTACGAATACCTGTGTTCAAGTATATCATAATGCCCCTCCCTAACTTCTGTACCTGCTATTGTATTCTATGTTGCAGTTTTTTGAGTACTTGACATATGGATCCAGTTATGTCTTGTAGCTTTACATACGCTACCACTTTTTGGTCCCTAATAGACCTTGCTTCTTTTCCCTGGTTATCTTCTTGCCTAGGTCCATGTTAGGGAGGCTTTTGGATCTTTGTTTTATGAGACTAAGTGGTTGATGAAACTGGTTTTCAAGACAGTCAATAGTTGATTGCTTACTCTGGGGCTGTCGTCACACTAAGGTCAAACCAGGTGATTTCCTTTCCCTAAAAGACAATAGGGAATTAGATGGATTTTTATGATATTAACAAATTTTTCAGTTATTAAAACTGAAGTGTTTTAAAGTTTACTAAATAAAATTTCACCAGCTCGCCTGGTGGATGCAGACCCTAGCCGTAACGTTATCTAAATCTCTGGATTATTAGTTTAACAATAAGACCTACACATCAGTTTGTAAAACTCTTTCATCTGTCGTCTTTGCATAGATTCACGAAAGGTAAGCTACAAGTTGAGTCAGGGCCAGTTTTGCTATGCAATTTGTTGTAAACTTTTTAAGCCTCAGCGTTTCTGCTCCTTACTATATACGAAGCGTGTGTTTCTTATTGGGGTGAGCAGTGGCTAAAGCTTGCAGCCTGAGGTGATCACTCCATCTCTCTCTCTCTCTCTCTGGAGGACAATGGAACAGACAGGGCTCCTCAACTGCAGCACAGAATGGGGCTGAGGTTACCTAGCAGCCAGAGACGGGCCAATCAGGACGGCGGAGCGGAGGTGTAGCCCCGCCCCATCCCACCCTGCTATATAATGCGCTCATTAGGCAGGCAGTCAGTCTCCCGCAGTGTGAAGTGAAAGCGGTTGTTGCAACATGGCGAGGGAACAGCTCTGTAAGCTATTTGTTGGCGGGCTCAGCTTTGAAACGGTAGAAGGGAACCTGCGGAACCATTTTGAGAAGTGGGGCAAGCTAACTGACTGTGTTGTCGTACAAGATACGATCACCCGGCGCCCCCGAGGCTTCGGCTTTGTCACATATTCTTCGCCGAGCGAGGCGGATGCTGCAATGGCTGCTAGGCCTCATGTCTTAGATGGCCGCACGGTGGATCTGAAACGAGCTGTGCCAAGGGAAGACTCCAACAAACCTGGCTTCAACATGAAGGTAAAGAAGATCTTTGTTGGCGGTATAAAAGAGAACCTTGGCGAGAATGATTTACAAAGCTACTTCTCAGACTATGGTATGATTGAGAAAGTAGATGTGATCTGTGACCGAGAGACTGGCAAGAAAAGAGGCTTTGCCTTTGTGTACTTCGATGACCATGATTCTGTTGATAAAGCGGTTATACAGAAGTACCACATGATTAATGGCTACCGGTGTGAAGTCAAGAAAGGTTTGTCGAAGGAGGAGATGCAGAGCGCAACTAGACCTCGAGGCCGAGCTGGCAACTTTAGCCAGAGAAACGGTCGGAGTAATGGCAATTTTGGAAACGCGGCCGGGTATGGCGGCGGCGGAGGCGGCTACTACAATGATAGAGGAAATCGAGGCGACGTCTATGGTGGTTATGGTGATGGGGGGTATCCTCGGCGTGACCGTTCTTTTTCGGGCGGCAGCTATGGTGATCGAATTCGGGATTATGGCTTTGGGAGCTATGGTGGAGGAGAAAGAGGATACAATAACGAAAATTTCGATGACATGTATGACAACTTTGGGAGTTATTCCCCTGAGCAGTCCAACTATGGTCCGATGAGAGGAGGGGGTGGTATGGAAAAATACGCTGGACCCTACAGGGGAGATTACGGTGTTAGCAATAGAAGCAGAAACAGAGATTATGGAGGATATGCCTTTTAATATGCGCATGAATTTAATGTGTAAGGGGGAGTATTTGATTTGTACACAAATGGCTGAAACTAAAAGTGAATTGTGTGTAAACTGTGTAAGGGGGACGTATTTGATATGTACACATGTAGCTCCAAAGCTGCATAATGTATTCAACTAATCAAGGATAATTGTATACTTTTTCACAATAAAAAATTGAGTTTACAGTCTGTCCAGTTTACCTTGCAAGTCTGAAATTACTTTTATGATTAGCACTATCATTTTAACCATCTGGGAAGTTTAGTAAGTGAGCACATCCTGTTTCTCTAAGATTATACATAAGCATGTTTATACTAGAAAGACTTTGAATTTTTTTTTATATTCTAAAATCCTGACATTCTCCTCTTGACTGGCTTCCTTCTTGGTATTGATAAGGCTGGGAGTAGAAAGTTAAGGTCAAGATACTTAATTCAAGTCTACAAATGTGCTCAAACATTACCAGTTGAGGCAAGGCAGCTTCTGTTTATCTATGGTGGTTCTATTCACACTTTGGTAAATGCTCTTAGTTTAAAAAAAACACATTGAAGTAATGGTATGGAAAAATGTGGAAAAACATTTTCACTTGGGGATTGATCTCTCAGGCAGACTAATGATTAGAGGGTGGGACACTTTGGTCTTTTAGGAAAATATGGAACTTTGAGAATTTGATAAACTGCATGTAACTTCTGGTCACTGAGCATTCTGGAGATAATTCATGTGGAAATGCCAAACACAAGTTTAAATTTGCCTGCCTGTTCCATAGGGCAGATCTGAACTCCAATCTTGTTACTTATTTGAGTAGTTGAGACAGAGTTTCCTATTGCTGCCTTCCCAAAATATCCTGCTATGCCATTCAGTACCTTCATGATGGATCATCTACCTAAGTTTCCCTTTTCTCATTCATTCCCCAAACCCCTTACTGCCTTGAAAGAACAAAAGTTTCTTGGCCTTGAGTGTCAACAATGAAGCATCCATGATTCTCCGGATGAGAACGTCTAATATTTATGGCCCTTCTTTTTAAATCTCTGCTTATCTCATTCCAAACTGACTTCATCCTCCATTTCTCCCACTACCACATTTGCATAGTGAGGAGAAACAACTTCACGGTGTACAGACTATCAAGCCCTTTCAGAATCTTGTTTCAATGAGGCCAAATTTTACAGGGCAATTTGGTTAGCCTACAATGATAGGAATACACTCTTCTGAGAAACAAATCTTGTTGATCTTAGGATTTGCACTTGAGACTCTTCTTTCAAGTGGGCTAGGACAGGCATGGTGGGCTAATCAAAATCATCAGATCTTGACTGGATATCAATCTGGTATTGAGAGCTGGCAGTTGAATCTCTGCTTAATGGAGTAACCTGTTGTGAGAGCCTGAGCCCAGTTCCTCTGCAGAGCAAAGAATTGGGATCATTTGAGCTGCGGTCACACAGTCCAGTGGTAAGTACCCTGCTACAAGTTGACCACCTGATGAAACCTGGAGTGAGGCTTTATTAATCAGACATTTGTGACCTGTGTATGTTGCATTTGATTTTTTTTTTCCCTCCCCTTCAAGTACAGCAGCTTCAATGAAAGGAAAATGTTAACCATCCATTGGCTGTTTTTGATTGTAAACTTCAGTTCTATTTCCTCACCACTGCTGTTAGCCATGAATAGATGGAGGTGTTTTACGATGGGAAATAATCACAGAATGATGCCAACTTCTTTAAAAGCCAACTGTCTGTCCCATTGTGTGCAATGTTTGCTGGATTCTAGCACTCTAACTTACCTATTGCATCTCTTCCTTCTCTTACCTTTCACTTTTTTTAGGTTTTTTTTCTTGCTCCCTGCATCAGGTTAACTCTTGCCTACAATATATTCTTCCCCTCCCCTGCTCTTTCATCCTCCTGGAATGATTCAAGACTACTTCCTTCACTGGAGTGTAGAAGGTGAGGAGGTGACCTTTTTATAGAGGTTTATAAAATGGAAGTGTATAGATAAGGTGAATGGCAGGTGCCGTCCCTAGGATGGAGGGGGGGGTTCAAGGATGGGAGCATATTTTTAAGGTGAGAGGTGAAAGATTTTAAAGGCGTGAAGCAGTTTGTTTACACAGTTCTTCATGTGTGAAATTAAAATCCCAGAGGAAGTAGTGGATGCAGGTACAGTTAAAATGTTTAAAAGACATGTAGGTAAGTACATGAATAATAAATGTGGAGGGATATGGGCCTTGCGCAGCAGGTGGGACTAGTTTAGTTTGGGATTGTGATTTGGATGAACTGCTTGGACCGAAAGTTCTTTCTGTGCTGTATGACCCTATCACTCTGACTCTACTCTCTGTTTTGGCATAATAGGAGTGCATTAAGGTTCAATGCAGTAGCCATCATAATTAAGTTCATCCAGTCTAATCCTTAGTTTGCTATTGATTCTTGTCCTGTCACAGATTGCAACAGCATAGCATACATGAAAATCCTAACATGACTTTTGCCCTCACTCCATTTGTTGGGACATGTCTTACTCCTTCCATTTCATTTTTTTTTTTCAAAATAAAACATTGCATTTATACAGCACCTCTTAACAACCTCAGCATATCCTAAAGTACTTAATGTGAAATTAAGTACTTTAGAAGAGCAATCCACTTTTAATGTAGGAAAGGCAATGCCAATTGTGCAAGTTTGCTTTGCTCCAAGCAGTCATGAGAATCACTAGGCACTTTAAATCTAACTAATTAAAATAAATCTGGAGTTACAGATTTAATTATTTTAAAAACCAACTTCAATTGTGGCAAAGGACTGATTTAGAAGAACTTTCAGTCTTAAAAAAACTTCTATCAGTAATGGTGACTGAAATTGCTGGATTGTCTTAAGCCCATCTGTTAAGAAAGTAGGTCTGTCGTTCATACTCAGTCCTATGTGACTGCAAGCATACAGTAATCAGGGTGTCTTCTTTAACTGCCTTCAGTTGTAATAAAAGCTTTTCATTATTTTCTGAAGGATGGAATTAGATGTGCAGTAAATGCTAGCCTTTGCAGCATCACCTGATCCCAATTATTAAAAAAAATCTACCTGAGCAGGTAAAGTCTTTAGTCTAATGTCTCACTGAAAAGACCACACTTCCAGTCATGCAGAATGTGCTCAGTACTGAACTTATGTTGGTCTGGATTTCATTCGGGTCTTTGGAATGAAAGTTGAAATGATAACCTGACTTACAGGTGAGCAAGCTCTCTTCAATTGCCCATAACTGGCATCATTGCAGGCATTCCATGGCTGTTGTTCACATGTTTATCATCAATGTATTCTATCTTTGATTCTTTAGCTAAATATTGCCTCCCCAGTGATTTTCTTGAACCACAGGGCCAGTTTCCAAATGTTGATGATATCTGCCTCTCTTGTCATCTTAAGAAAATTGTCTGGTCATGATATTGGACAAAAAATTAGAACAAGAATGAGCCAAATCTTTCTTGTAACTGAATATTGGGAAGGCTGAGGACACAGCTGTTGCCTTTATGTCAACCATGGTTTCGTGTAGAATTTGGAACTGGGATTGTTGCTGTTCTGCTATCTCAGTTTGCTTTTGCGCTCATCTGTCCTTTTCTGCTGATATCTGGAATCCATTGTCGTCTTCATTCTAACCTAGAGTTTGCCAGTTCCCCCACTTTTTAAACATGAACCTTCCACAACATTTTATAAACAGTATTTAAGAACGTGGCAGAAAAGTCAACGTTTCGGCTTGAAATGTTGACTTTCCTGCTCCTTGGATGCTGTCCGACCTGTACTTTTCCAGCTCCACTTTTATTGACTCTAGCTTTCAGCATCAGCAGTCCTTTACTGTCTCCATTTAAGAACATGTGCTATTATATGTTTGTTCACATCTGTCATGCCCCAATATATCCTTTTGTTGACAGTCTTTATTTGCAATCTGTCTCTTTTTGTGTCTGTGTCCTGTTTCTCTGCCTCATTCCACTGTATTTCAATGATTTCTTATGATTCAAAATTTTCAACTTCAGTTGTAATTCTGGATGTTGTTTCACTCCTTTCACTTAGGAATTGGTGGTCTTTTGTTCTGCCAGTATGCTCAGAGGTGTATGTGCCTGCAATTTACTATTCTGCACCCAATTCTCTCTACTTAGTTGCCTTGCTGTGTGCTCTTAAGACCGTTCTATTCAACCATGTCTCTGACAATTCCTCTTTCCACACATCTTAAGATTATACTGTATTGTCCAGTTGTGAAAAGTACTATGCAAAGAAGATCTTGGCAGTGCTGCTGCCCTGGCTTAGCACAGATCACAAACTGAACTCGCAACTTTTCTGGTACTGCCACATTAATGCATACATTTTACTGAACAATTAACAGTCCCATAAGGAGATTTTGATATGACAGCATTAGATTTGACTACACTAGAACTAAACCTGGATGTGGTACTTTAATGGCTATAAAATGCTTTTGTGGAATCTAGATGTTGCGTGAAGTGCATTGAGAATATTGAGCAGTATCTGAAGAAGGATGTGCTGACATTGAAGAGGGTCCTGAGGGGGTTTACAAGAATAATCAGAGATGGACCTTCTATGAGGATTGGTTGAGAATTCTGGGTCTGTACTTAATTGAAAAGGATAAAGGTGGGGAGGGGGAAATCTGATTAAAATTTACTGAAAACAGGACTGAATAGAGTGGATGTGGAGAAGATCTCTCTAGGAGGAGAGATTAGGACCTGAGCGCATAGCGTCCATGAAGGTATGATCCTTTAGAACTGAGGTGAGGAGGAATTTCTTCAACCAGAAGGTGGTGAATCTGCAAAACCCAAAGCTTCAGAGAGCTGTGGAGGCGAAGCCACAAAGTCTTTAAGGCTGATCCCCTTTAAAGAATCTAAGGTTATGGGGAGAAGGCACACGAATGGAGTTGAGAAACATCTCATGATTGAATGGGAGCAGAATTAGGCCATATCTTTTATGAATGCATATTCTACCTAAATAAAAACTAGTGTATTAAGTGTTATGAACTGTTGCCTGGAAGCTGCTCTATAACAACAATTTGTTTTTCTCATTTAAGTGGATTTGCCATGCTAAATTGTCCAGTGTCCAGGGATGTGCAGGCTAGGTGGATTAGCCAGGGGAAATGCAACATTACAGCTCGGCATGGGTCTGGGTGAGATGCTCTTCAGAGAGTCGATGTGAACTTGATGGGCTCAATGGCCTGCTTCCACATTAGAGAGTCTGAT